AGACTAAACAGCTTTCACATTACAGATATAGGCATCAATATATATTGGCACATGAAGAGAAGGGAGTTACCTTACAAGTGGAGAACCAGGTGTTGAAGGTCAGTTCAGTCAGGGTAGATGTGGTCCACTCCCAATAAATCCAATAAGTGTGTCTACAGGTGTGGACCTGTGCAAGGAATGCAGCGGATGATGCCTGCACTCTTGTGGAGTGTGCCATTAACAGCAGGGCTGGAATTTTAGCTAGGTTGTAGCAGGTTCTGATGCAGGATGTGATCCATGTCGAAATACACTGGGTCAAGATGGGGAGCCCTTTAATCCTCTTGGCGATTACAAAAAAGAGCCGTGGTGACATACAAAACGGCCTAGTGCATTCAATATAGAAGGCTAGGGCATGCCTGATGTCAAGGGAATGGAGTGCTCGCTCTTTGTTGCTGGCATGAGGCTTAGGAAAGAATACCGGTAGAAATATGTCCTGATTCACATGAAAATGCAAGATTAGTTTAGGTAGGAACATTGGCTGTGGGCGTAGCTGTACCTTGTCTTTGTAAAAGACCATGTAGGGGGGCTCGGAAGTAAGTGCTCTGAGTTCAGAGACCCTTCTGGCCAAGCTTATGGCCTGCAGAAAAGCCATTTTCCAGGAGAGGTAGGATAAGGGGCAGGTCACCGGTAGCTCGAAAGGGGGGCCCATAAATCTGTAAAGAACCGGGTTAAGGTCCCACTGGGGAACAGGCTGCCTCACCTGGAGATAAAGCCTATCTAAACCCTTAAGGAACCGGTCCACCATGGGATTGCCAAAGACTGACCTGCCCCCCATGCCCAGGTGGAAGGTAAAGATGGCCACCAGGTGCACCTTATTAGAAGATATAACCAGCCCCGGTAGCTTCGGGTACAAGAGGTCGTCTAGCACAAGGGGAATAGAGACTTGTTGCTGTGGAAGCGGAGTGTTACCTTTCTGTCGGGACCAAATGCAGAAACGCTTCCACTTTGCCAGGTACGGGGTACGAGTTGAGGAACTGCCCTAACAGAGTCTGAACACTGGAGTTCAGTTGGGGCCGAAGAGCAGACTCCATTAAGAGGAGCTTGAGACAATAGTGTCTCTCTCTCTCAATTCTGGGCTTGAATCCTCTGCAAATGGTGCACTTAGGGTGACCAGATAGAAAGAGTGAAAAGGACAGGATGGGCTGGTAATAGGTGTCAATATAAGAAAAAGCCCCAAATATTAGGACTCTCCCTATAAAATCAGGACATCTGGTCACCCTAGATGCACTTGTCTTGCAAATGGCCCTCTCCTAAGCACTTCAGACAAGCAGCATGCGGATCCCCTTTGGGTATAGGTTTACTGCACCTCTCGCACGGCTTGAATCCCTGGGGCTGCGGCATGCCCCGGTGCCTGGGGAAAATATTGAGGGGGAACCCCCCCAACTTAAACATACTAACTAATAAAACTGACTAACAATCTAGTGAAAAGTAACAACTATATACACAGAAAAATGCTAGAAAACACTTGCAAAGCAAGAGACCAGTTGCTCCGATGACCATCACTGGTGGTAAGAAGGAAATGGGCAGGCAGCGGGTTGGCAGGGACCTATATACACCGCCATAAAGGTGCCAGTCCCGGGGGCTCCACAGCCGACGTGACGGGTACTGCTAGGGTAAAACCTTCTGATGATCATGCACGCAACGCACGCACACACCGATCCTGAAGGTTTAGGGCCACTTTGTATTATTTAGAAGTTTTGCTTTGTTAACTTGGACCAGACTTGAGTCGTTTATGCAGGCTCTGAAGGCTATTCATAGGAGGTACAACCAGTGCTGGGCGGTGTAAAAGCCTGGGTAGAACCAGATGATTTTATACAGCTGAGTTTGAACAGGGGCAGATCAAGCAATCCTATTTTCAGTGGTTGTCTATACAGCATGCGACAGTGAGCCTCTCTACCCCGCTCAACAGACTTTGGCTTTTGCTAGGACTCTACAAATAAGGGTGTAGCTTGAATCCTGGTTTCTTACTCCAGTTTCTGGCCCTGACTCTGGCTCCAACATCTAGGCCTGGCTGTCCACATCCCAGACATGACATTTTCACCATGGCCTACATGTGTCTACAGCTGCATGACCTGTGAGACAAGTTGCAGAAGCTCTGCCTGTAGCATGCCACAGGCTCTGCGATAGCCGAGAGGCATGAGCGGGAGCAGAACCTGCCTCCAGGTTATTAGTTAGGGGAGCTCACAAAGGAGGTTCCACCAGATCGGCGCACCATGGTGTTTGTGTCAGCAGGGCTAAAGACCTCTAAGTAAAAGTTGCCAGGGAGAAAAGCCTCTATGAAAATTAAAGGGGATGAACTGAACGTGTGGACCCATGAAAAGATTAACTTTGTATGTTTGAAAGATCTAGTCCAGGGGCAGGCAAACTTTTTGGCCCAAGGGCCACATCTGGGCATGGAAATTGTATGGTGGGCCATGAATGTTCACAAAATTCGGGTTGGGGGGCAGGAGGGGATGAGGGCTCTGGCTGGGGGTGCGGGCTCTGGGGTGGGACTAGAATGAGGAGTTCAGGGTGTGGGGTGCAGGGGTTGGGGTAGGGGGGCGGGAGAGGGATCAGGACTGGAGGTCAGGGGTGCAGGCTCCGGGTGGTGCTTACCTCAAGCAGCTCCTGGAACATTCCCCCTCTGGCTCCTATGTGGAGGTTCGGCTAGGCGGCTCTGCGCGCTGCCCCATCCTCAGTCGCCACTCCTGCAGCTCCCATTAGACGCAGTTCCCAACCAATGGGAGCTCCGGGGGTGGTGCTTGGGGCGGGGGCAGTGCACGGAGCCCCCTCTCTGCCCCTAAACATAGGAGCCAGAGGAGGGACATGCTGCTGCTGCTGCTTCTTCTGGGAGCCTCAGCATACGCGTGTAGAGCAGCCTCCGACCCCGGTCCCCGGCTGGAGCAGGGCAAGCCCCAGACCCTGCTCCCCAGCAGGAGCTCAAGGGCTGGGTTAAACCAGCGGGAGGGCTGTAGTTTGCCCACCCCTGATCTAGTCCCTCTTGCTTGGACCCCACACAGGCCACTCCTAGAGAGATAGTAATGCAACAACAATCTATTGTCTAGAACAAAAGGCAGTGGTTGATACAAATAAAAACACTTTAAAAAAATCCCAGAAAAAGTCAATTACGACAAGAGAGTCACCACTGAGGGTTGTACTCTACAGGATTTTAAAAGGGACAGCTGTTGGAAACACCCTTTTCCAGTTATTCTTATGGGGCCCAGTAACCATGGGAGGAAAGTTTTTTTATAAAGACTTACTGAAAAATTCCAGTTGAATGTATTCAGTTGGGCCTGAGAAGGACAGCTATCAGCTGCCTTTGTATAAAGAATTTCTTTGTAAGTATTCTTTTACCAACTGTGTGGAGGGTTTACCTGGTACTTTAATGATGATCAGCTGTTTCACTGTGAGCTGGGAAGTTAACAGGTGAGCCAGCCTTCTGATCACTTAGGCACCAATTATATTCCCTGGAGAAGGCTGACTAGGGACTGTGTAGCTAATTAGCTGATCATTCTGGGGGTGGATGAACGAATTAGCCATCAGCTGATGGCTATAAAAGAAGAAACTAGGTGATCATAGCTTAGACTAGATCAGCAGTTCTCCAACTGTGGGTCGGGACCTCAGAGTAGGTCATGACCCCATTTTAATGGGGTTGCCAGGGCTGGCCTTAGTCTTGCTGGGGCTCAGGGCTGAAACCTGAGTCCCACTGCCCAGGGCCAAAGCCCTAGGGCATCAGCTCTGAGTGGCAGGGCTCAGGTTACAGGCCCTCTGTTTGGCACTGAACCCCTTGGGCTTCGGCTTCCCTGCCCAGGCTGGTATGGCTTTGGCTTTGCTGCCCTGCCTGCCCAGTGTGGCAGGACTCAAGCTTTGGACCTCCCCTCCTGGGGTCATGTAGTAATTTTTGTTGTCAGAAGGGGGACATGGTGCAATGAAGTTTGAGAACCCCTGTACTAGATGAGCGTGATAGACTTCAAAGTCAGAAGAGGCCATGAGGTGCGGGTGGAGAGGAGTGGGTTAGCTGAGCCCAGTATACTTTGAGATCCCAAGGGAGAAAGAGCTCTGTTCCTCTGTGGCCCTGTGGGAAAGGGCAAGAAACCACTGAAATACTTTGCTGTACAGGACTGTACTGGGGTTCATGAAAATAATATAAATAAATGATGTGGAGGTAATGTGGCCTCCCTAGGGATATTTCTTGGCCCCAGAGCATGGGGACAGTCCATTACACTGACCAGCAAAGTCAAGAAGATTATTGTGGTTGATCTGATGGACTTTGCTTGTGACAGTAATGAAGTTGAGGAAAGCCTCCACTAAGTATGTGTCACAGTTTACGGCTCCTGCACCTCTACTTCCTTTCTATACTTACCTATACTTTCTAAGCAAGCAGAATTTATTCTTAAGGTGAAAGCATTACAGAGAAAACAGCAAAAAAAGTACAAGAACTGGAACACAATAAACTTGCTAGAGAACACCCCCTCTAACAGCCAGGAGCAGTCCCTCACAGGGTTTTCCTTGGGTTTCGAGTTCATCATACCCTTTGCTCAGAATGAGAAAACAGTCTCATAGGGCTTCCGCAGGCAGAAGTCCTTCCAACCCTTCTCTAAGCTTGGGGCCCGCCGTGAACTGGAGGTCTGATCCATTTGCTGGACCAGAAAAAAAGCCAGGAGTCAGTTTAAACTCAGGTTATTTATCCCAGCATCCTCTCTTTGCTCGTCTGCTCATCTCTGGAAACGCCAGTTTCAACTTTTGAAGGGAACATGAGTAGGTAATCAGCCAGACGGAGGGTTTCCTCCCTAGGGCTGAGCATCAAACAGCTGATAACCAGAGGAAAGACATTAGCATACCCTCTCCGCCTAGCAAATTTACATACAATCACACAGTAACACAAACAATTGCATTTTTAATACAATGGACCCTAAAAGTATTAAAGTGAATTCAATATGGTTTAACTTAATTCAGTAAGGTTTATTCTGGATATTGCATACCTGTCAAAATCTGCATCACCAGAGCTGGAGTTGAATGTATATCGTTCAGACTGTATTCTGTCAGGGAAAAACAAGCCACACAATTGACCTAAAAACAAAAGTACACGGTTCTTTTAAAAAACCCTAGAGGTAAGTTACAGATCACAACCCTGGCACAGTAAATGTATCCTGGTAAGGCCCAAGTCCTTCTAAAAGCTCAGGGTGCCAGCAAAAAATACAGATACCTTGTGGTAGATTTAAATGCTTCTATGCAAGAGGTTTACAGATGAAGAACAGGGCTTTTCCCTCCAGCATTCTACAGTTGGGGGAGAGGGGGAAACAACAGGGTATAAAAAAAAAAAAAAGAGAGAGAGAGAGCCTTCTAAATCTACTTATGAAATCATCCTCACAGCAGAAGAAGGCTATCCTGTATTCAGCCTTTGAAGATTTACTACCAGTCATCTCAGAAACAGTACCGACTACTTTAAAAGGAAACATCCCTTTGACACAGAACTACGGGCAAGTACTGAAAAAAAAAGAAAGAAATTTATAAAAACCCTCTGTAATAAAATGGTCTCTCAAAAGAAAGAGACATCTGGTGAAACAGTCTGGGGCGGGGAGGGTTATCGGTCAGTCCTCTTAAGTTTTGTTATCCAATAATGGGGCTTTTAGACTAATTGATAATGGAGTATGCAGAAAAAAAAAGTGTACCAGATGTCTGACCACCAGCTGGAGCAGTAAATGGCTCCCCCTCCAATGGAGAAAAATATCAGAACTATAGCAACTTACTTACTGGATGCTGAAAAGAAGACTATTCTCCAAAGGACTGATTTAATCAACAGTGAAAAGGCTAAATTTTACGCTGCTGTGCTTGAAAGGTATTTAACGTATGTAATCCAGTGTGATGTGAATAAAGGGAAAATAAGTCTGTTTCTTCCAGAACAGGAACAGAGTATGACTACCAAACCCCAAGAAACACTCAAATTCTGACACTGTTGCTCAGGAGGTGTTGAACCCTGTAAATGGATGTTATAAGAAAAATGCTGAAGTATGGTTAAATATACTGGGCCATTATAAAAGCATTACTCAGAATGAGAAAGGAACTTTTGTGTACAAAGGATCCGTTGTTGTTAATGGTTCTAACATGCTAGATTTAATCAGGGGTGTCACACAGGCTCATTCCCTTCCTAACAAGGGCATACCTAAAAGGCTGGGATATTTTTATGAAAGCCATGGCTGAACTGAACACACTATCTTCTCTCATGGGCAGCACTACTAACAGAGATCCTTTGGGACGCCCGCAATCTTCTACCGCAGGGCTGGATCAAGAAACACCACTGTCATCACCTCTTTTACCTCCTAAAAAGGGGAAATTAGCTGAAAACAACTTGGCCGAGGGTGTAATCTTCTTCATGTTTGAAGAACATGATTTTAACAGATGTTACTGGTTTTGCTTTAAACATTTTTGAAAAGTACAGAAAACAATGTTCCAGTGTTTGGTTTCTTTGAGCTGCTCCATGTAAAAACCAAAAACCACCAGTCACTTGTCTGTAAACTCAGTAGGAGCTACTTTATTGAGAAAAGCGGTCATGAAAATCATTGCAAGAAACACTTGTCTGGGCTTGCTGAAACATTTTGAGGGGATTTAGACATGCCTGAGATTTTATGGGTTTTTATTTTATTATTTGCATTGTATTTATTCTTACAAGACTCACCACACCTTCTGGTCATTTCGTACTAAATCTCTGGAATACATTTTTTCAATCTGTTCAAAAGCTAAACCCTTGCTATGATGGGGTAAGAACCACACAGTGATTGCTGCCATCAACAGAGAGAGGGGCTTGAAATTGTCCGGTGTGAACTCCTGCTGAGATAGCGCTTTCTTTGTCAGCATCCAAACAACATCTGAGCTAAATTATTGTGTAGTTCTTACGGGGGTGGTGAAGGAATCTGTGTTTCCCTTCCATGTTTGCCTGATTTCTAAAGATGTGCTCTTTAACAAGATGGTCTCTTTCTTACCTCAAGGGCTTGAGGGCTTCCGGGGTGATGCTATCAAACAGCCAATGACTAAGCACTGGAAGCCAGATTTCTGGCCCAGATACATTCTCTGGGGTTTGAAGGTCCTAGTCACACAAGGCCACCTTGATTGGCTCATGCTTTTCATCGGGCCTATGAGGAGACCTAGACTGAGAACAGCTGGTGTAGGGAAGCATAAGCAGGTCTCCGAAGGGACCCAGGGGTTGTCTAACCCCCACTAGTAAAAAAAACACACCTGTGTTGCATACCCTCTGTGGCAGGGTCTCAGGATACAGGCCTGGGTGTGATCTCCAGTCCAGCATTTTCTTTCCTGGGAGAATTGTGAAAACTGGCTGACAGCTTTACAGCAAGCAGTAAATAAAGCAGCAACAAACTGAATCCACTTTAGGCCAGTGTAAAGATTCTGGTTATCAACCCCAACCCATAAATCCACACAAGAAACCTCCAGCCATTTCACTAGGGATGGGGCAAACCTCAACCCTTTGGAATGCTTCTCCGAATCAGTCTGGACTGGGCGCTGCCTACGAACTGACTCCCTGTGGGATTTCCCACACTGGCTTGAAACCCCAGCAACAGTAAAGCGAATGATTATGTTGGCACTCTCTCTAGGTTATTTTGGGGCTAGAAGGTTTCATTTGGAGGGTGGTCCAAACATTTTAGTTTTTGAAAGCTAAAATGACTGGTAGAAGTCAAAAAAAAAAAAGCTTTGAAAACACCCTACAAAAAAAACCACCCGGCAGTAAACAAAACTATTATGGGACTTTGTTTGCCGTGTTGGTCCCAGGACGCTAGAGACAAAGTGGATGAAGTGGTATCTTTTATTGGACCACCTTTTGTGGAGCTCAAAAGCGTGTTTATTTCACGAACAGAAGCTGGTCCAATAAAAGAGATTCCCTCACCCACCTTGTCTCGATATTTTGAAACAGGCAATTAACACCCAAACACTAAGTAAACCACAAAACCGCAGCATTTTGTTCCCAAATGGCTGCCTCATTAATCCAGGGCGGCCTGTTTGAATAGTAGTGGTATTGCTTTTTATGCGAACGTTGGGGGTTCCCAGAAGGAGCACAGGATTGCAGAAGGGATCCTTCAAACTTTCCTGTTCCTGGAAGTTTGAGAGGCTGTTCCATGGGAAAGTGCTGTGGAGGGCCACTTATCAGAAAGCGCGGACATCCATTTCCTGGGGGTTGCTTAGTGGTTCTCCATCCTCATATTCAAACACGGGCAAGGAAGCCAGGCCAAAGCATCGGTTAATGATTTAACAACAACAAAAAGACCACCTGCTTCTTCCATGATTCAGTTACATTTGAGGGGCTTTCCCCAATGGGCTCAAACTATCCCAGCTGCCAAACCCCATGACTCTCCGAGTCCTCTGTGGTTGATGTAATGAAGTAGTTCTAGCATGAAAGGTCTTTCCTCACCCTGCACTGCTGATGCTCCAGCTCTCCTGCAAAGGAGAAGTCAGGCTGCAGTGCAAGGGCTCTGTGTTGTGAGCCTCTTGGAGGCAGCCTGCAGGAAGGGAGGATGGCCACCTTTGCATCTTCCCCATTCCGGGATGTGCCAGGGGCTGAAACAGTGCTCTGCTAGCATAACTCAGAGCAGCTTCCTAAGTTACAGCAGCCCACCAGGAGTATGGCAGCACTAGAGTGCCTTCCCTGGGCCCAGCCCCTGCACTAGTGACCGTGAGGGGGCTTGCATAGGGCCCCCGATACGTACGTACGTATGTACGTACGTGTGTGTGTAGCCATTGAAACCGCTTCAAGCCAGCGCCCCTCGTTCTAGCACCTATGCCTACCTCAGAAGCATACAGGGCTGTGCCAATCTGTTCTGGATTCAAACCAGAGGTTCCTTTGCCATGTCCAGATATTTCCCACCTGATGCTTGCTTTACTACTTCAAAAGATTCCAGTTATTAGCCCTAGAGGTGGAAGGGAGAGTGGGAAGAGGGGATCAGATTGCTCTCCCCACCTGCAGGGGCCCAGACTCTGCCTTCTGCTCAGTAAGCCTGAAATGAACCACCACAGAACGGTCAGGAATGCCAAGTGCAGCCCCAGGCAGAGACAGCCGTGGTGCAAAAGAGGATAGCAGCCACCTTGTTGCAGGGCAGGTATACCCTGTCACCCCTATGGGCATTATGGCCCTGTGGCCAAGTCCAGCAAACTGCTCTTCCTTTCAGGCCAGTATAGCCTAATGGTCTGAGTCAGACGGACTGTCCTTAGATTCAGGGCAGCACAGCCTAGCAGCCTACATCTATAAGGTGGCCCTATAGCCCATGGCAGCATGGCACAATGACTAGAGGCTGGGGGGCTGTCCTAAGAATCAGGGCAGGTAGGACCACCCTTGCATGCTGGACAGTATGGCCTAGTGACCAAAGGAGGGTGGGCTGCCACCTAGGGGTGGGTTGGCAGCTGGGATAGAGGACCCGCGGCCTTCCCTACGCCACTGGGTCCCAACCCAGGACCCTATCAGCAGCAATCGTATCTGCCGCTGAGTCAGTGGAGATATCTCGGAAACACACTGAGACTGTTTCTGGTACCACAACCAGATCAATATCTGGTCTCCCTGGGCTATTTCCTACCTGGTTTTCCTCCCCCATAGCCCACAAGTTCTCCAAGGTAGTTGGAAGGCAAAGCTCCCAACAACTCTTTCCCCTCGTGGGCTTCTGTGGACAGCTGGATATTTACCTGGGTCTCGGTGTGCCTGGCCTCTGAGGTCTGGGATTCCAACAGCTTCCAGACAGGAGCCTACACCACACATCTTCTCTCCACCCCAATCAGGCCAGGCCAAGCTGCTCCCTTTTATACTGTGGTTTCAGTTGGAGCATGCCCAGGATGGGAGAGAGGGCGTGGCTTTCCCCTCATAGTATGGGGTTAACCCCTTCCAGCCCAGTGCAGGGCAGGTGTACCCCATCGCACACCTCTATCAGGACTTTGCCACCTTCTGAGGCAACATCAGTGCCATAAGTATCAGCACCAGCCCTGAGGTACCTACATCCAGGCATTCATGCTTTGATCAGTTTCAGGTGATATGTTAATTAATTTAAGATGGATCCAGCCTGCCTCCCTCCCTGGATCAATGTGCTTTTGCCTTCTCTCAGACATTT